TACTTAGGAAATCTTGAAAGCAAACTGAAGTATACAAGGAAAAATACAGTTCTATCATTATGGCAATAAGGATCATGTAACACTTTTTAAAAAGAGACCAACAGATTTCCTAGAATATTTTGTTAATCTAACCTTAAAGTTTAGAAAGAATTTGAAAATCAATAGATTCTGCAAACTGTTTATACATTCAATATTAAGTAGTAATACCTAAATCCTAAACTAGCATTTTAGTGAGTGTTCTCATTGTCTTTTTGTTTAACTGTTCTTCGGAGAGCTGACTCTGTATATATGAATGCAAACCAAACATTCTTGAAATTTACTTTCTAAATAGCAGTGTTTTGACATTAGTTTGAAATGAGAGCAACCTTTTGAACAGAGAGCAAGCATATGCTTTGTGTTTTAGGTTCTGAATCTGATTACACCATTAATCTGTTTTTCAGAAATGGATGGAGCACATTTTTTAATTTAAGACTTAAAAGAAAATTAAAAGAGATATTATAAAAACATAACAGAGACAGTTGTAATTACTTCAGGCTACAAAAGAAGGTCTAGTTCTGCATCTACAATCTCGACTTGAGAAATGTAACTGTGTTAAATTTTGATGCACAGGAGAAATATTGGAAAATTAAATGGTCTCACTGGCAGAATTTTCCTATCCTAAATTTGATCATTGCTTTCTTCTGACAACCAAACAAAATTATAAATTTCCTTCCAACCAGAAAATGTCCATCCTTAGGAGAACCAGACATAGCAGCGATTACTGTCCTACCTGGAATAATGATAAAAAACATAGTTCTAGTCCTGGTTTGATTGACAAACTTTTGTGAAGTTGCAATTTATTATATTACCCAAGGCAGCAGATCACTGGTTAGATCAAATGGTTGCTATTACTTTTGTCTGTAAAAGTTGCCTTGTGCACTGAACAAGCCATGCTGTTTCACTTTTAAAACTGGAAAGATCAATATAAAAAATTAACGTTTGTTTATCCAATTTGTCACTAATCTTTAAATGTGACTCACCATATAAAAATTACAGAAAAATAAGCATTCATATTGCTACAGGGATTTTTTTTCCCACTTCTTTGGCATTGTAGACCTACACAAGCCATGGAATGAATTTTTTTCCTGGTTTTCTGCATGGCATGTAGAATTGTTTATTAATGTCTAATCAACACAAAAACATTTTGCTACTTTAACTTTGTCTCTTTTGTTTTACAAAAAGTCTTGCTCCTGGCACACATATGCGGACTTTCAAAAGCCTCAGTTTAGCTAGAGCAGTGCTGGCAGACTAACCCATTTGACATCTTGTTTCGTTCTCAGACCTCTTTGACTATTGGAATTTTTCTCTACCCATTAAGAGTTTACTGGAAAAACATATCATGAGTGTACAAAAGTCCTGAATTCCAGTTAAAACTTTATAACTGAAGGTCTGAATTTGTTTTTTGAAACTCATAATATAGTACCAGGAAAAAAAGAAGAGTCCTAGTGCAATTTTAAAATACAGAATAATTTTTCAGGATATGTATTTTATAAGCTCAAGCATTTTAAGGGTTCAGTTTAAAAGGATGGAATTCAATTAAACACCTACCAACTTGGTGTTCAAATGAATTTTAGCCAGCATTGTCTTAAATTGTAACTTAACCAAAACACAACTACCTGGAGAATTTTTTCTTTATTTTACATTACATATTAGTGTCAATTAACACATAATGGAGCCACTAGAAATAGATGGGGAAATTGTTCACACCGTATATTTTTGTGTGTCTAACTTTTGGATCTAAACTTAGATTGGAGCCTGAATTCATTCAGGCTGGAGCCAAACTTAGGTATTCTGAGCTGTGTGTCCCTCTTCCAAGAGGCACCTACTTTCAGTCTCTGCAGCAGGATGAAGTACATGGTGTGAGTAATACCTTGCTGCTTCTAAGAGTGCTTTTGTCTCATATTAACTAGTCACAAATAATGGCCCATCTTCGCGAACGAAGATTTGGGGAAAGGTCTTTTTACCTTTCCAACCTGCGCAATGGATTTTTTTAGGTGAGACACAGCCTGCGCTGAACTGAGCCCACCCTTTAATCCTAAGGTTCATCTGCCGGGGCCAAGCAAGCTTGGACAATGGCAGTGAGGTCCTCAGGACGTAGGTTTGTTTAGAGTGTCCTTCTCATAGATGGATGGCCACACAGGGCTAACGACCTCCATCAGGCCAGGAGACCGGGGACTCGAACCCGTGGTCGCAGCAGTGAAAGTCCTGCACGCTAACCACTAGGCCACCAGGGGTCTCAACTAGTCACAAATGGCATCCTGGCAAATCGCACTCACCGACTCATCCACTGGTGTGGCTTTGATCTCCTCTAGGACAGGCTCCATGTAACATACTCACACTTAAATTCTGGCTGTGGAAGCTTCTGTATGGTTCTTCTATACCATCTGCGTCTGGTCATCTGCAGTATGGATGTAATGCTATCAGTGTATTGAACATACTGTGGTCTTTATTCTCTGATTAACTATTCTGGTATACTGAAAGGTGATGGGGGAAAGGGAAGAAAAAAGATACCCCAGTGATAATCTACTAAAGTCATTCTCCCTTCAGCTTTGAATAGGTTTTTTTTAATTTTGGGATATGTTCACTGTTACCCAAGTGGCAACCACATGTAACAATATTAGTGTTTAACCTGATTAATTTCTGTACTTTTAATCTTTTACTTTGAGCACTGTAGTTCACAGAACTATTTAATGTTGTTGTTCTGTGATGTATATGCTGACATTCTAGTAATCAGTTGTCCACAGGAATTGTTGCAAATACCAGTTCACTAGGCTAATACTTTATGTAGTAATACTTTTAGAGGAGCTCATATAGTCTAATTCATCAGACAATTATTCTGCGTCTCTTAAGATTTTTAGTCATTTAAGTAGTAAGTATTACAAAATTAGATTTAGTCTTAATACACATGATTCATAAACATTCAAAGGTGAATACATGGGGGTTTTGGCTTACAAATGTAAAATGTCAGCAAAAAAATAATATAACTTCAACAAAAGAGACTGTGGCATAATTAATGAAATAATATTAAGCCCTCATTTAAAGAAAGCAGTAAAATGGCAAGGCTGCTTTGAGCAGATTCAATTCACCAAGGAAAAAAAATGTATTCCTGTAACTGTTTTGGTGACAATTAAAAGATCTGTGTCCTGATCAAAATCAAATTTAAAAAATAGCTCTAAACTCTCCATGCACAGTAAGCGTAGTCTCTGTAGATAACATCTGTTTATGCTGCCTTTGCAGCACATTTCAAAGTCGACTGCTGTTGTTGCGTTCATTAATAGTTTTGCAGAAATACACTGCTAAAAAGGAGAGGGTGGTTTGAGGTAGAAGGAAGTAACATCTGAACTTGGCTAGCAGCCTGCTAAAGTATGACTCTGTGCCTGCTCTTGATCACCTGTCTGTCTCTTTCTACCCTTTCTGTAATGTTAAATGGAATTACCAATGACTTGAATTCAAGCAACCCTTGAAGCATGAATGAATAATGTGGGGTTTTTATTGCATACGTTTTCTCCAGTAACAGAAGATTTTTTTCATTTTAAAAGAAAAATGTCTTGGACTTAGCAATGAGAATTTAAGGAAAATCTAAACTTATGAAGTTATTGAGAGAAAATGTGGACTAATGTTGAATCGTACTTGACTGCCTCACAGCTGCATTTACAAGAGCTCTCTGTAAGCTGGCCTTGAATATCTGTTCCCTTGACTTCAAACTGGGAATCTTATCAACAGCTTGGCTAAAATGTTTCCAGTTCCTTAACCTTCAAGGTTTAGTTTTCTGGGGAAAAAAACCCAAAACCTCTGTATTTGAATATGTTTTGAATCTAGTAGAAACTACATGTGGAAGGCCATTGACAGTTTTTTTCCAATAGGGACTAGTATTTTAGAAAGCTGCTTATTGGGGGAGTGGGGGACTATTTAGCTAAAATTCCAGTTATTAAAACTCATTTAAGGAACAAGAACATCCCTAGTGACGTTTGAAGACTACAAAGAGGAAAAAAAAAAAAGACCTAGCAATCAATAAATCTAAGAAATTTAACAAAAATCAGCAGAATCTTCATAACTGTGATTTGCATTCACCCTTGTCAATAGTAGCTACTGGCAGTTTCATGTGCTGGTTTTTACATGAGCATTACAAGCTGCTAAGCTACTTGTCTGATATCAAAAGCTTCAGTGTTTCCGGTCCAGAAGGCCCATTTGAGCATGCAGTTGCAACAATGAAACACACAAACAATTCTCTGCACGGAGAACTGAGAGGATTGAGGTATATTTTGGACAAAGTGGGCAGAAAAGGGCAGCTGATTTACAGCAGGATCACTTCCCCAGTTCCTTTTGCTGCACAACCTGCAAAAAATTGTGCCAGCAAAAAACACAAGTGTCTCAAGAGGGTTTCTGTGTTGTGCTTTAAATGGTCACTGGATAAAGTAAAACTGTTGTTCAGGTTCTGTTATGCACAGTAACTTAGGTAATTTCTCACTTCTGTGCTGCTGCCTTGAGTTTCTTGACTTAAAAAGTACAAGGAGAAATCATCAAATGGGCATAAAGCCACAGCAGGTAGTTGTCCCCTTTGATGAAACTCCTAAAGGTGTGGAATGACACTGTACGTTTGACTGCTTGGTCTTCATGGTCTTTAAAAATGTTTAAACCATGATAGTGGCCGCAATGAAAAGCAAGCAGCGGTCTGAACACAGCATGACCTATACTTTCAAAAACAGAATGCAGCGAAGTGTTGTTGTTACTGTTGTAATATTGTATATTGCCTGTGTTCTGAGATGTTCAGTCAGGGGAATAAATTTCCCTTCCATGTGCATCTGACCTGTAGAGCACTGATATCAACTGCATAACTGAACAATTAGTTCAGTTATGCGCTTGATACCAATTAAATCAGGCAAGGGATTTAATTAACATTGCCACTGTCTTTCTTCTAGAAATAAGTGTGACTGTATTTTCTATTTCCTGTTCTTCTTCAGGGCATTTGACGTGGAACTTCTTTATATAGCCCAGTGTTTGAAAATACCTGTAGCAGAAGTTGCTGTCAACTGGACTGAAATAGAAGGTAGGCAAATTGTTTATATTCTTGTAAGATTCCTCACATGTCAATCCAGAATAAAGTATCCAATGGTCTGCCCATATTTCACTCAGTTTTGATAACACACAGCCTTCTTTCCATACAAATTTTGAACTTCCTGTCCTTGCCAGCCTTCTTCCATGGCTTGGTACAGGAAGAGTAGGTAAAGGAGTAACAAGGGAGAGAAACTCTGCACTCCCACTGGAGGCAAAAGTAGGTAGTTATACTGCTAGGACAAAACACTACTTTAACATGTCCTCTTGCTGTAATGTGTTAATAAAAATAGAGCAATTGTAAAACACTGTGCAGGAAGTCTGACCATCATCGCTTATTGATTCAACTCTATTTCACTGTGTCTTGCCTTCCAAAATTCTCAGCTATTAAGGCCTCCTCTGAGGCACCATCTCTTCTGAAGATGTGATGTTCTTTCAGACCTGTAGGGAGGTCTCTGAAACTGGGTTACTGGAAAGTATAGTTCCATGCACATTTTGTCATAGCAAAGCCAGCTGAAGAGGTACTGCTTGCTTCTGCTCACTTCCCTCCCATCAAATGCAGTTCCTCCATTTTTTTTTACCCTTTTCATGTTTTTATCTTTTCTCAATCTGAATCTCTTCCCCTCAACACAACTCCTGAACAACAGATAGTACAATGAACTGCAGTGATGATGAAGGGTGCAAGTAGAGAACATCCTGAGACAGCTTTCCTAGAAAGGAAATGCTTCCTTTCAATGCAGTTCCACACATGTATTACACCTATCACAAATGTTAGCAGAGATGGAAGAAGGCTTGGTTTCATGGTGTAGGTTCCTTACTTGCCTGAAAATTGGCACATTCGTATTACTCCTGTAAGGTAAGGTGGCGGCCCTCTTCTCCAAAGTTGATAAAAAGATCATTTGACTAATTATTGGTGTTCAGGTTCCTATTTACTTGAATAAAGCCCTGTAATGGAGAAGACTGTGCATCTTGTCACATACATGGAATTACTGTGCTGCTTACAAACTAGTCTCCCACCTGTGGCATAATGTAATTACTATAAAGCAATAACTTTCAAAATATAAATTTTTATTAATGTTAAGATCTAGGTTGTGTGACTGAGTGTGCTGAGAATGCAGAGTTTCAAGACTGCTTAAGTGTGTGTCTTGCCAGTGCTCATTTTTTTCTAACAATGTCCTGATTTTCTTCTTCATTAATCACAGGTTCTAAGTTAGTAGAAGTTTGGAGCTGGCTGCAGATGGGCAGAGATCTTCTTATTATATGACTGCAATATATGACTGGTGCCTAGCAGCTTGAAAGAAGAAAATATAATTAGGTTATTTACATTTTCCAAATATATTATTATATTTAATGGAACATGAGAACAGTTTCAATCAAATGAAGTGGTGATGAAAGCTGAGGTAATTTGTCATTGCTCCTGCTCTTATATGTTTCATTTTTGCAGCATGTATGTGTTTTGTAAGATTGCCGGCAAGGAATTTGTACATTTTTAAAAGAGAAAGCATTTCAAAAAAGATTTTCTTACCTGGTAATCAGTTTTTATTTTATTAAATAGTAGCTTTAACATGTCTTATAAATTAATTCAAATAAATATATCTGCTTTTGTCTCATCACACTTCTGGAATTTCTATACATGTATTAAAAAGAGGCACTCTATTTTACGTTGTGCAGTGTTGTGTCGTGAATGACCACAACCATTTGTTTCTGTGATATCTGGAAATTTTAGGCGATATTGCAACTTGGAATTATCATTCATGGTTCACACTGATGCATGTTTAGATTCAATGTTATTGGAAACATTAATGGATTTTACTGAGTTATAACAGTAATGTTCTTAAAGTTGTTCTAAGGACTTCTCAGTAGTCTCTTAAAATTCCAAATGTTTTTGTCTGAAGCTGAAATAGTTTTCCTGAGATCAAACTGTAGATCATGTGCAGACTGTAGAAGGTCCAAGACCAAGCACATTTAGTTTTAAAATGTTGTCTTTTATAAATGTGTTTTGTTCGTGTGTACTAATTATTCCTGCCTGCTCAAGGCTAGAAGTCCTTGACATCTACAGGTCTGAAAGTGAAGAGGTTATGGAAAGCTAGTTCAGAGCATGCAAAAATGAGACCCAGTATACACTGGGGGGGCTGTGCATTAGCAATGCCAATCTGATGTTGTCACACTTCAAATGAGATCAGAGAGGGAGGGAGGGGTCTTGAGTCTTTCATAGTAATGTCATGCTATGTTACAGTACAGTAACATAGTTTCATTTGTGCTTTCAAAATAGTTGTGGATTGCCAACAAACTAAGCCAGTCTGTCTTTCAGAAACATGTACAAATTTGAACAGTTGTAAAGAATGAATGGTATATGGTTGTACTTTCACATGGAAATTCACTGGTGATTTTTCTTATTCTTTCTGTAATATTGACTTGGATTTTGTTCCTGTTAGGGTTACCTCAGTTTTCTGTCAAGTGCTGGAATAAATTCTCAAAAAATATATTCAGTTTGATTTCGCAGGCTTTATTCTCTTGCCTAGTCCAGATACATCTCTGTCACTTCTGCAGAATCAATCACAACTCCTCTATGCCATTACTAGAATAAAATACCAGCTTCTCGGTTTTTGTAAAGTGAATTTCTGTGATCAAACGTAAACAGTAATAGCTCTGCTCATAATTGAAGTTGCCCACCAGTTTTCAAAAGCAGATTCCCCAAATTTTCCTCACATCTTACCTTAGAATTGAGCATGTTTGAAATTTTAATGAAAGTAGCTCACCTCTTTCAAATTATGAGGCTTAGGCCATGCATTATTTTTAGCGTGATAAGTAAACATCTGGTGATATCTTCTTAAGAAAAATTCTTCTTTTGAATCATATGCCAAAGGTTGGAAAGAGGGTGCTAAACATTATATATATTTTTTTATAATTTCACAGAATCACAGGATAGTTAGGGTTGCAAAGGACCTCTGGAGATCATCTGGTACCCTGCCAGGGAAGGGTTACCTACAGCAGATTACACAGGAATGTATCTGTGTGGTGTTTGAATGTCTCCAGAGACTCCATGGTCTCCCTGGTCAGCCTGTTCCAGTGCTCTGCCACCCTCAATGTAAAGAAGTTCTTCCTCATGTTGAGGTAGAACTTCTTAAGTTTTATTTTATGGTCACTTGAGCATATTCTACAAACTTTTTTCAAAACTTTGCAGATAAACTCTCCAGTAACTCTCTCCTTATTGAGCAGTCTCCTTTATCAACTGTGCATGTCAGGGCAACAAAATACTTGATTCCTTCCACCTTAGAGATGTAGAAGTAAGACCACATTTACAGTCTCAGCACTTTGTGGAGTTGGGTGCTAGAACTTGTTTGCAGGGAATTCTCTTATTGTTTCAGTGGATTTGAGCTGTAGATAAAGGTCACTACATGTCTCCATAGTCCGTAGACTCTGAGGTGGACAGACATGGCACTGGTCACATCCATATGTCTCTTTTCAACTGCCTTTCAAAGCAGGCTTGCTTCTTCAAACTGCCTGCTGGGGATAGTCCTTGACCTGCACTGACCACCACGCTGTGCCCAAAAGTATTTTGGGAGCAGAGATAGACAGTTGTGAGACACCTGCTACAGTGTGGTTTGCTTCTATAAGTGTGGCCTGATGCATTCCATTGCAGTGGAGATAAAAGCTGAACTGGAATAAAAAAAGGAGTAAACTGGGACAGAAGGAGAATGCGGAGAAGTAGAAAAGAAGACTGATCTGGGGCTGAGATTAAAAGTCAGAGAGTGAAATGGAAGACTTACTTTACCTGAGAAGGATGGTTGGCTTCAGATTCTGTCACTCATGTACCAATCAGAAGTCTTCTGGGTAACATACCTAATTCCTACCTAGTATTTGCAGATTATGAAATACACACAGGACACCACCAGGCACATGCTCTAACAGAAGTTTAGACTTACACTTTGTTTTAGGTTTTTGCTCTGCTCTGTGTTCCTTCAGGCTCAACATACCTCAGCAATCCCAGAATCAAGAGAAGATTATCCTAAGCACCATTTCAGAAGCAGATGTACTGGTTTAATTGCACACAGCCATAAAGAGGAGTGTTCCTGCTCCCTCTACACCTGTTCTTGGGCTGCTTAGAGGCTCCCTCAAGCCACTTCAGCTCACTGGAATGGCAGGATGCTGTCTTCTTTGTTATTTTTTCCTTTCTTCTGAGGTAGTTTTCTGCCATTTCAGTGATCTAAAATGACTCCCTGAGTGGTCCAGCAGGCACAGGGTGCAGCAGCAAGAGGAGGGCTTCCCCTTTTCACAGCTGTAAACTCACCACAAGTTTAAAGACTGACTTGTCACCTGGAAGCTAGTACACTTTTCAAGGACAGGAAATGTGAATTTAAATTCTCCCTTTTTTAAGCCTAGATAAGACCTGAGGTCTTGTTGCCCTCTTAAAATGAGACTTTTAATTACTAAGCAAGAAAGTCCTGGCTCTGGCTCTTGATGTATTCCAGGGCCCCCGCTTGATTTTAGTGTCACAACATGGAACGGGAGGCTATGCTGACAACTTCCCTGATCACCAAAGCTGTCATTCAAATCAGTCCTCTGCCTAACTGGTCCTCACTCTTCTCTTTATAGATTTGCAGAGATACATTTGTATTTCAGTGGACTCTTAACCTTTACTATTTCTTCCTACCCTTGCATTTGCAGGGGTGACCCAGGGAGGTGAAAATCTTCCATGTTGCACACTGTCCTGCATGATCCAGCCCTCCAAAGACACATCAAAACAAATTATTCTCACAAACTTTGAAAAGGAAATAAAAACAAATAGAGAAAATCTACATGATAATTTTGCAACATTCTTACCAACATCAATGTCTGCATAGCTACTGCTTTCATAAATAGAAATTTCAATGTTTTAAAAAATATTTTTATATCTCTGCATAAAAGGCTTACTTTTCTGCACCCTTTAACTAATACTTCATAAGAGACTTTTTCAAGGGGCAACTTAATATCAAAGAGTTGTCTTTGAAAAACACATGCAGAAAAAGCAAGTTACTGAAAAAGGTTCAGTAGTTTATACAAGTTTTCTTCACTGTTGTCATTTTTTATCAGAACCCAAAGCAACAGCAATGCAGTATCCATTGATACACACTCAGCTTTTATCCTTACAAGCTATTTGTTTAACTCATATTTTAAATATCTATTGGAAAACCAGTAAAAATATCTCTTTTTACTCTCAGGCATGTCTGCAGATGTGCACTATGTTTTCTTTGACAACTCCAGCAGTTAATATCTCAAACAGGTGTCAGCAACACTGCAGCATTATCACAAGGCAGGGTAACTCTTAAATGAGTAATAACACAGCTTTAATCAGTTTTAACCTATATAAAGTTCTCAGAGATCACTGTTGTGAAGTGTAAGCAGACAAATGTCGAAGATGGCTCCAGCTCATTCTGCAGAATTGCGTTCAGTAATACATAGATTTGCAACTCTCAAAGCTTCTGTGTGGACCATTCCACCACTGCCAACGTCCAGGTTAGTTTTTTCACCATAGGAAATTAAATTATATCAATATGTATAAGCACAGCAACATTTCTAAGCCATTGAATAGTCCCAGATAGTATTTAACTTGAATTCTCTGCTAATGTTTAAGGCTCTGGAGACCTATCCATAACTATTTATGTACCTATTGTCCAAGTGTTCCTTGATTTCACAGTCATAATGCTGACTACAAACTAAAAATAGTTGAAATGAAGAGACAGACGAAGACAGAAGGCTGCAATGAAGCTTTTGTATCTCAATGTTTATTACTTAAAATAACATCTAACCTTATTTATGATCCATGTACATTTCTTAGGGATGGAGTGGCATGTCTGTAGTAGCTCAAGGGGCATGAATTAAAGTAGTGTTCCAGCATTGTTGAAGGCTGCACCCTGCCAGTTAAACCATAAATTATCTACCTCTTTGGGATAGGGATTTAGAGGTTAAGAACTGGATGCTACTACGACCTGCCTATTGCATTAGCCAACGGCACATAAGAGAGTCTTGAGCACCCTCAGGGGCTCAGGGGAGAAGCTACAGACAAACCTTTGTTTCTTACTGGGAAAAGAAATGGCATTTTCATATGACCAAGCTTAACTAATAGTTGTGAGATCATAGCTGAGAGGGCTGTGCTAGAATATGATTTCATTTAATAGATCCATCAGAAAAGAAAGAGCTAACTAGCCTCCATTTTCCTGGATATTTTTTAATCTATTTTTCTTTATACTGTTAATCGAGCTGTTCAACTGCCCAAGCTGCATAATTAAGTATTTCCCTGATGTAAGAAAGAAACAAAACTTTTCTAGTCCTGCTTGCTGGATGCAGTCTTTGAAGTACCTGTACACTCTTGCAGGTGTATCAGCCTGTAAATCAGTCTGTAAGTTGTCAGTCTGTCTGCCAGATCCTTAAACTACACACATTTACACACACTAACACAAACACAGTATGTTTGTGTTAGTGCAAAGAGTAGACCTGCTTTTTGCTAAAGCAATGTTTTCCATGTTTCCCTTTCTGCAGAAGGAGATGAACTCTTGCTGAATGTGGAATCTGCTGGTAATATCACTCCACACCTGAAGTTAAATGGTCTAGCCCATTTCAGACCAGCAGCCAGGTCAGCAGTAGCTCTTCAATGCACTGTAAATGCATGACTGCAGTTACTAGAAATATTCTGACTTACTTGAGGGAAAGAGCAGCAAGCAAGCTGCAGCAGCACGGGCTGTGGGGCAGCTAGGCATGCTGGCCAACTGCAAAGTAAGCATTTCTATAGCAGGGCCCAGGGGAAATGCTTCCAACTTCTGTTGAGGAAAGCCACCACAAGCAGGGAATACTCCTTTTCAGACTTTCTGCAGCTTCCAGATACTGCATTAAGGCCTCCGAATTCTCAGACCTTTTCTAAGGACAGTCTACCATCAGCAAGCAGTATTCAGTCATAAGAGCTTTAACGGGTTGTGAGAGGTTATCATTTGTCTAAATTTACTCTACCACACTTCTCAGCACTCCCATGCAAGCAGCAAATTCTATAAATAATTTACTTATATTCACAGTCTCTTTCTACATGTACACTCAGTATTCAAGAAACAGCTGCAGACCAAACACCCTCCCAAACTGGCTTAGCCACAGGTGATCCTTCTTACCTACATGACCTTAACTCCCTCTCAGGTCCCTGCCTTTGCATCCACCAGGCTCTGCCTTCCTTGAGTCTTCACATTTTGCTGTCAAAATCACTTTCCTCCTTTGAACGTTGATCAATTTGTCGTTTTAGCAGAGTGAACTTCAATATCTAGACTGAATCCATGCCTTTGTCACTGGCATGTTCTGTGCAATATTCTTGAAGAATGAGGTGATGTTAATTCTGGCATTCCCATCTGGTTTTTGCCACGTTCTGATGTTTCATCTGGGGTTATTCTGAAGCTGTAGAAAGATCCCATTACAAAACAAAGGGAAATATTGACTGTCCACTTTTGGACTGGAGATCAGAAGAGT